TGTTGGTCTGATAGAGCCTGGTGGAACCACTGAGACTATGGTCCCTAGCTGCCCTTCAGGTCTGGAATTGAACCACACCTGTGGATTCCAGCCAAACAAAAGACAGGCATATGAGTTGAACATTTACCTCAGGTAGATACACTCCTTGGAGTGAACAATCATGGGAGAAAGAAGGGCTGCTTATGCACAGGGAGACAGTTCAGGGGGCAGGAATGCATGGAGGGATGGACACAGGGAAGAAGTAACTATAGGGAGGAAGTGGGAGGGGAGCTGTTGCATTGTGGGACATTGTAGTCGATGTCATGAGACAACGTGTGTGTGAACTGCTGTATGGAAAGTGAATATACTCTGTAAACTTTCACCCAAATCACAATAAAAAACAAAAATAAAAAAAAAAATTGCTCTGTAAATGTTCACTGACACCACAATGAAAAGTTAAAAAAAAAAAAAAAAAAAAGAGTCTTTGAAAGTGGAAACGTTTCTTTATTCCTCAGGTCATGGGACATGTGTGAGACTGTTTCGATCACTAAAGAGATATAAAAACATTTGTAAAAAAGTGAACAAAAAATAAACAAAAATATACAGTGAAAATACATACATACGTACATATATATATTTGCATCTTTGGAACAAATAATTCCACTATAGCACTGAATCCTATGATAATAGAATAGTAAAATTCATTGTTATGTATTGTATTGAAAAATTAGAAACCTTTAACATGTCCAGTAACAGGGGGAAAGTAAATAAATGATGTTCCACTTATTTAAAATCATTTCTCATACATTTCTTATTGGTACTGAAAACCACTTAGGATATACTCATTGGTAATTAAAGAAAATCACAAAACAGGAAGAAAACAATAACAAAAACAACAACAACAAGGACCTGTGTCATTCTCCAGTGCTGTGGCAATTTTCCTGTTATCCAAAGAAAGTGACCAGCTGAGGGTGGTCAAGCTTCCTGAGGGAAACAACACCCTCAGCCATTGTTCTCCTCAGTGAGAATTCAGCTGTTTGTGGTGCAGGCACCAGGTCCTAGGCATTGACCTAAGGGAGTCTGGTGGGCACAACTCCAACTTTAATTAGTGATGTTTGGGCTCATTGAGGTATTCCATCATTCTGAAGCTCTTCTCTGTTCTTGATCAACTTAGGTCTGGAATATGAGAGGTGAATGGTGATAACCAGGGAGGAAAGAGGATGACTGGGATGTGGGGCTGTATGCACACATTTGTGAATATTTGTGTGGCTACCATTTAAAATATGTACGTGCACATTACATATATGTATATATGTAGACATGATCCTTCTTCTACACTATATCCCCAAATTTGGAATCAGGAAGGCACTAATTCAATAAATCCAATTAAACATCAAAATGAAGAGTCCACCTCTTTTGAGTGCTTTGGCTATTCCCTTGGAGCTCTGGTGGTGTAGTGCCTAAGGCATTTGACTGCTAACCAGAAGGAAGACTGGGCACTCTACATTCATAGATACTGCTTCAGAAACACAAGGAGTGGTCTCTACGAGTTGGAATCAATTCGATGGCAGTGTTTAGATTTTTTTTTTTTTTGGCTATTCCCGGAGTAATGTTATAGACAGAGCTCCATCTGGCATTTTTCTAATGATCTGAAGGCTTCTGAGGTGGGCACCCATCATTGGTTTGAAAAAGACAGAGAAAGAGACTGCAGCCCTGTTAACAAACTTTTCCTGATGCTGTAGAAACAGTCTGCAACCTATAGCAACACTGTATGCTTGACTAAGCTTGTCATGAAAATGATTTGAAACCATTTAAATAATTTCTTTTCCATCAGAAGCTAACCAAGCAGTTTTACAGTAGCCTTCACTTACCTGAAGGACTAATTTCTTCATCAGGTGGCTTGCCTACTGGTGAATTTTATTATGAACCTATTTATGTACATAATCCACATGTGTTTTGACATGAAGAAAATCAGAATGAAGCATATGAGAAATTGCCCCCCCCCCGCCTTTTAAAATCCCCCTGCTCATTCTGTGTTTACAATGATCTTCCTTTTCCTTTGGAGGAGATGGGGACTATATGCTGGACTTGGTTGAAATGTGGGCTTTTTTTTTTTCCCCCTAGTTCCCATTCTAGTCCCTCCCCTTATCCCAGCTCCTCTGTCCAAACAAGTACACCATCTCCAGGGAGAAGACTGCTACTACTCTCTAAGCTGCTACAGCTGCTACTATTGTCACTGCTACTGGTCTCAAAGTCATTTTTAACTTGACTGAGTGCCTGCTGTGTTCCAAGTTCCATAAGGCGCCCCACGAGTGGTACAAAAGAAACATACAGTTTGCAGTTCTTTTAAATAGCCAGCTCCTCCAGTAACTTTTCAAAATAGGAACCAGTTTTCATGCAAGATTCAGAAACATAGGTATTGCATAAAGAAAATCTCAACACCATTAAGGGTACCTCACTAGTTGGTGGCTTTCATTATACAGGTCAAACTGCATAAACCCTCTGTGTCAATTGATGGGCAGTGTGTTTGTCTCTAAGGTGAAAAGGGTTCATTCTGTCCATTGAAACCAGCATGATAACACGTTTCAATTTGGCTTCTCTAGGGATCTCTTGGGAGTTCTGGTAGCATAGTGGCTAAGACACTTGCCTGCTAACCAGACGGCTGGCGGTTCAATCCCACCAGCCGCTCCTCGGAAGGAAGGTTGGGCAATCCTACTTCCGTAGTGATACTGCCTCGGAAACCCAAGGAGGGGTCGCTATGAGTCGGATTTGACTCGACAGCACATAACAACAACAACAACAACAGGGATCTCTTGGAGCCCTGGTGGCGCAGTGGTTAAGCACTCAGCTATTAACCAACTCTCACCAGCTGCTCCAGGGGAGAAAAATGCGACAGTCTGCTAGCGTAAAAATTACAGCCTTGGAAATCCTATGGGGCAATTCTATTCTCTCCTATAGGGTCACTGTGAGTCAGAACAGACTAATGGCAATGGGTTTGGATTTTGTTTGATTGATTTCGTTGCTTGTAGAGATCCTTAGCTGTATGGTTGCTATCAGGAAGCCAAGAATCTCTAAGGGTGTTAAGCAGTCTTTTCCAGTCTGTATATAAACCTCTTTTCTATAAGGCTAGTTTCACAGAAACAAAATCAGTTCATTACAACATACTCCTGAGAAATGGGTGTGGGTTTTAGAAGTTCTCCACATTAAATACATGAGCTATTTAGAGTGGGGGTATGAAGAGATAGGTAAACAACTCTGAAAGGAGAACATTGCCCAGAGTATAAATATGAGATTTCACTCTGCCTTTGGGGAGCTTATGGAGAGTGACACGTAACTTTAAAACACACATCTATGCTGTACTAGGCATCTTGGCATTATCTAGGACATACATCGCCGATTTCTAAACCACACCCATGGTGTAGGGCTGTTAATAAGACCTAACACATAGCATTCAGTCTGGCCCCTGGGGTGCCCAAGTCCTTCACAAAGGGCTTCCTTTTTTAACTTCCAGGAAGCACCCTTTCTTCCTTTGGAAGATGAGAAAGGGCAAGGGTCCCAGTTTCCATTTCCTGGATAGGGAAACAGAGCCTCACAGTAGATTATTAAGTCAGAGCTGGGAAGAATCAATGACTCTCCTTCACCTCATTAGACTCTCAGGAGAGTTTTACACTGGATTTGGTTTGTTTTTCTTTTGGTGGAGGGCTGGGGAGCCATGACACTCAGGGGGAGTTAGTTAAACTACTCACTGGAACCAGCTGAGCACCTCCAAACAGGTAAATTCCTTGGGATGACAGGCATACAGGGAAGTTTCCAGAGGGAGCTAGAGCCCACTGCTACCCTTTTCCTTATCCTCCACCTCCCCTGGCTATGAGGCAGATGCCCTGGGTTACTCAAAGAGTCTTCATCTTGTTCTGCAGCTGTTTTGAAGGCAATGGCCTGGTGGTTCCAGCCAAATATTCTGATGGAGATCCAGAAGTCTGGGTGGGGAAGGACTTGACTATCCTCCAAGATCTAGGACATTCCCACCTCGTCTCCAGTTTCCCTCAGTATTCCACACTGGATCTGCCAACCACAACTTCACACTTTTGAAAGCTGCTTGTGTTTTTACCCTGTTGCACCTCTTGGGACTAACTAATTTCTTAGGTTTACAATGTGCTAGAAAGAGTAATATTTCTTTTCAGCTGCTATAGCACTGACCTGGGTATACTAATTTCAAATTTCACCTCTACCACTTACTGGCTGAGTAACCACAGAAAATGATCATCCTTTCTCTGAGCCTCAGTTTTATCATCTGTACAATGGGGGTTATTAAGACCTACTCTTCCTACTCCACATGGCTGCTATAATGAGAAAATTAGGTCTTTGATACACAAAAACCTTAAAAAAGTGCAAACTGGGGTGCTGAAGCAGAGTGATATTTGCTTCTTATTTATCTCCTGGTTCTTAGGGGGCTATTGGTTCTAGAATTCTCAGATCTGGTGAATCAGGCTGTGTTCTCTCTCTTCATCTCTGCATAATTTTATACACTCTGGTCACATCGCTTCCCAGCCTTCATCTTTGTAGACTAAAGAGTCTTCATTTGTTTAATCTGTCTTCATATGGCAGCCCCCTCTTCCCCTCCCCTTCCAATCCCCTTGATTATAGAGTGGCCCTACTCTGGATCATCTCCAGCTCCATTATGTCATTCTGGAAGCACTAAGACCAGACCGGCACCAGTGTGCGTGTGTGTGTGTGTGTGTGTGTGTGTGTGTGTTCCCGAGCCTCTGAGCTTCTGACTCTGCCCCCTCCTCAGTTATAAATCCTAGAACAGGATGCTTGCCCCAAACCCTCTCTCCAAACTAGAGAGAAGACCAGTCAACCCCAGGCTGAAGCCTCTCCCTCTTTTTCCGCGCAGCCCTGGCCCCAAGGGGCTAAAACGGCTCCCTGTCTGGCTTGGGAGGCTGGGAGGTGGACAACTAGGATGGGGGGGGCCCGAGAGGGAGGGGGGTCTTGCGCAAGCGCACGATGCTGCATCGACCGCCAATGCTGCTGCCTCCTGGAGCCGAAGGAGGCAGGAGAGGAGGGAGGGAGCCGAGGGGCAGGGAGGGGGAGGCGGCACTTCAGCTGCAGCTTGCTAGCTGAGGCTTCTCGCTTAGCTCCAGGAGGGACGGGGAAAGGCAGCCGCGGAGTAGGATGCTCTGCGGGGCGCCCTGAGCCCGGGGCGCGTGAAGCTGTTTCAGGGGCCGGGGCAGCCTGGCAGTTCTCACCATGCATCAGTCCCTGACTCAGCAGCGGTCCAGCGACATGTCCCTGCCCGATTCCATGGGTAAGTCTAGCCCTCTGGACTGCTAGCGCCTCGCCTCGGGGAGCGGGAAGCTGCGCCAGGGGGGGCCTCTCGCCCCTGCCCCTGGGGGGTGGACCAGAGCTCCAGGGGAGCGGCGGGGCGGGGGACAGCGCGCAGCGACCCGAGCACCCAGCTCGCGTCGGAGTCTCCCTGGCCAGAGTGGGGGTGTGTGCGTGTTTGTGTGCGTGCGCCTCTAGACTTGCAGCTGGCCATAAATCCCAGCTGTCTGGGGATCAAAACACTTCCTGCAACCTGCGCCTTCGCTCGCCAGTCGACGCTCCCTCTTTGCAAAGTCCCCATCACTTCTAAGGGGCTCACGACTAAGGACCATTAGAAGGAGTGCGACTAAGGACCATTAGAAGGAGTAGGGTCCTCGCTCCCTCCCCCCAACTCTCTTGAAGCTGCCCTGAAATTCAGAGCTGCAGTGTGTGGGGGGAGTGTTGACTTGAACCTCGCTGAATGGGGGAGTTGCGCGATCCTGGGGGCCAGAGGCGACCGGGAGAAAGGGGGTCCCGGGAAGGGAATTCCTAGGGAATTGCGTCTGCAACTGCAGGATCTACAATCCTTGATTTTCATTCCTGTCCTGCTCCAAATGCACGGAATGTGCGTGAGTGTGAAGGGGGGAGGGACACGAGTGAGAGCGCAGGAAAGAAACAGCCACTGCAAGCCCGCGCACCTTCGCAAGTCGCGCTCCAGCTCTCTGCGTGGAACTAGTCTGACTTGGCTCCACACCTTTCCTCACCCAAACTGGGGGGCAGCTACCTCAAGGCACCAACGCAGCTGCTCCTCGAAGCTGCTTTTCACTGCTTATGAACACAAAACCGCCCCAGTCCCCCTCAGCTGATAGGCACCTTCCCAAGCCTTATGATTTCACTGGGCGGAGAAATTAATTCGGAGCCCAGGAGAGCGGGAGAGGATTGTCAAACCATGTTCCCACCTAATCTTACAATTCGCCTCAGCTACACTTTAACCAAATCGCATTCTCTCTTCCCTAAACACTTGCCTTTCTGCAAAATCTCTCTCCCCTGAATTCTGGCCACCTCGTCTGCTCAGCTCCATTCCAAGGAGTCTGCGGGGACATCTCCAGGGGTCGGGGAGAGAGTTTTACACACACACACACACACACACACACCCATGTGAGCTGCCTGCCACCTGCAAAAGACTCGATCTTAAGAAAATTCGTTCCCTGAAGAGCCCAGAAAGTGTTCTCTCCTGGACGGTGGAGAGATCCATATTTTCAATGGTTCTACATCTTCAGTGTGAGAATTTGCTTTCTTTTAAGGGCGTAGTTACTTGCAACGTGGTACAAATGAGGCCAAGAACTCTGGTCTAAGCTCAGAAGTAACAGACTTCCCTTCTCCCCATTTGACACACAGGCGCACACACAGAGACATTGCACTCCTCACCTTGACCAGCTGTGGCGCCAGCTCAGTCCTGGCTCCAAGACACTAGGCTGTGGCAAGAGGGAGGGCTGGCTGGGAAGGTGCGAGGGTTCCGCAGCGCCCACTCTGGCTACGGACCACAACCACCTGCCAACCCGGCCTCCTGGCTTCCTCCGGCTCGCCTGCCTGCAGTGGGGTGCGCTGGGTAGTGGTCCAGAACTTAAAGCGTTGCCACTTGGCACGCTGCTCTATGGGTTGGGAAACAAGATGAAGAGAGTTCTTTCTTGGGCTTCCAGGAACCCTCAGCCAATCCTGCGTTTCCCGAAAGGTCTGCGCAACAAGAAGCTGAGTGGGCTTCGCCCAGCCCTGTCTCGACACTGCGGGAAAGGAATCTTAGGTCCCTTGTAGACACGGAGACTGCGCCACGCATTCTGCTTTTTGAGGTCCACAGACGTGGGGCCAAAGCACATTTGGGAGTCGAATGGTAACCCTGGGCTTCCACAGTTTGGACAAAAGACTCTCCCTGGAGTTCCCTGGCCCTGGTCCCGCCCAGCGCAGGCCTGAATCAGCGTCTAGGATACTTAGGAGCTACTCCCACTTAACTCAGCTCTGCCAACGCCTGAGCAGGGGTGACGGGGTGGGTTAGTATTTCAGCTTTCAAGCTCAGCACTTCTGAAGGGATTCCCTCTACAGGCAAGAAACAACGGCGGGCAAAACAAAAATAAATAAAACTGAAAACACACACTGCACCGAGGTACCTGCCCTCACGCTTGTTGACTGCCTAGGGATCAGGGGTTTGTCCAAGGTTCGGAACCAAGCCGGAGCTAGGTAATTACGAAGGTGATAAATTGATGCGAGCGCCTCTCGGTCCCCAGCCCAAGCCCCTTCTGCCTTTTGGCAACACCGCCCCCAGGCGCTAAGGCACCTCAACTGCAGCAGGACACTGCTTCCCTCCCAAATGACACATTTGTCATTCGCTAGCCACTCCTCGGAAGGAAGGTTGGGCAATCCTACTTCCGTAGTGATACTGCCTCGGAAACCCAAGGAGGGGTCGCTATGAGTCGGGGCCGACTCGACGGCACATAACAACAACAACAACAACAGTGGCCTTGAATGCCTCTATTCAAAGAATTGTCTAAAAGTAGGGGAAGATGGCGGGGGGGGGGGCTTCAGCTCTCTTAAAGACACGTCTGGGCCAAGGGTAGGGCCTTGAGGCTGAATCTAAGCACACTGTGCGGGCAGCCACCTGTTTCTAGGAATCCTCAAGGCTGAGACTTCCTGAGACTCTCCTTGTGTGGCAAAGTCTACTCAGGTAAGGGAATCCTAATCCATTCAGAAGATCAGCCAGTCATCAATAACATATTGTATGGGACAGGATACTAGACACACTCAAATAGAGAGTACACACCCTACTCTGTTGAGAACATGTAGAAGGCAAAACACAAGTGAGCAACCCACACCTTGGTTCCTGTTGGATCGTGGACCAGACCCACAATTACAATTGTAATTGTAGCAGTTTCAATGAATATACTGATTGGGTAAGGTGTCTAGGAACTCAGGGGACATGAAATAATGAGTGGTTAGGGTACAATAAGTCTAATCAAGCAAAACTTCCTGGAGTAAGTGAGTTCCCAGCAGGTTTCAAAAGAAGCAAGGGGCTCAGATTCAAAGACCACAGTGCAAGCGGGGGACCTGACACAGGGAGGGGGAATACCTAGTAGAAGGAGAAGCTGGTTGTACTGGGAAGGGTGGTGACAAGAAATAACTGGGCGTTTCTAGAGCCAAGCCTCCCGGTTGTCCCAACTTGGGTGGGGTTGGGATACTGCACTGGTTCCGCAGGGCACCCGCTTCAGGATGGGGACAAGGCAATGCCCAAAACAGGATTTCAGGTTCTCACACTGCTGGTGATGGTGGCATTTGTTGTTGTTTAAACAGAAATATACTGAGTGGCAAGCAGACAGCTTAGTGAGAGACATCGGAGTTGTGACATAGTTGAATAGAAGGCTTTCAGTTCTGGGGTGCCCTCAGGTATACCCTATTTCACATACTCAATTCTATGAACATAGTAGATATTCATTCACATAATTCCCTCACGCTCTTTTTTTTTATTATTATTATTAGAAGGGAGGCAATTGCAAGACATTGTCTCTTCTTCATCCAACAAGTATTGACTGCTTACTAGGTATCTAACACCGTGCTAGGAACTCTTTTCAAGCACCTGCTACTTTATTCAAGTATCTCATCTGAGTTCTTTGATGTGTTGATTTACTAAATAAAACAGGAATGAGACAGTTCTGTGTTTACATAAACATCTAAGGCAAGACCCAAAATACACCTTAATAATAAAACAGAAACAGCCACCAAGAAAATGGCGTAAAGAAGACACAACAAGCTTTAGCATTGCAGGCTGCCTCTTAAAAGCCTGGGCCATGCCATCAGAGAACAGGTGTGTGTTGCCCTAAGTAGATGTGAATTTTATTAAGTCACACTGACACTAAGGATAAATTGAAGGGTGATTTTCACTTTTCAGAAGGATTTACCCCAGGGTTCCTTAAAATAGCCAACTGCTCAAGTACAACTAAAATTAATTTCACTTTACATGATTGTGGTGCTTATAGTATAAAACAAGGGGTGGTTTGGGAGAGGTGTCAGAGAATAGATATTCAACCTGGTGATGAAAGAGTTTTCTTAGAATTTTATCCAAAGCAAATCCTGTCCAGAGGCAAGGCCTCTGTGGGGCTGTGAGATCTTTGCTTGAGTTTCTCAACTAACTGAATTTTCTATTTCAGGTTCTAAAGCAGGAGAAAAGAAAAAAAAAGATTTTCAAATGACACCATGTGGTTTGCTGAGTCACTTTTCTGATCCCGCTCCTGTGCTTTTAAGAGTTAGGGTGGTATTTGCAAAGGATACCCAGGAGCTGTGAATAAGATCAAAGGCCAATTGGCAGAGGAGGATTAGGAGAGTGATGCAAAAACAAACAAACAAACAAACAAAAAAAAAAACATTTCTAAAGACCCACCCCCAATTGAATCTCTAAGACTATGTGTTTTTCGTGTAAGGTGTGGAGACACTTCTGTGTGTCACAAAGATACCTTTGGTCCATCCAGATGTTCTGGGTTTCTTCACTCTCTTTTGCCTGTTTAGGCTGGAGTGGGGGAGGGGTAGAGATGGCGTGAGTGACACGGAAGAAAGGAAGGTGAGGGTGAGAGAGGGTGTTAGTCAATTTATGTTAGAGCCCCCCTGTGAAGCCCGTGGAGCCATGATGGCACAGCAGCTAAGCGCTTGGCTGCTAACTGAAAAGTCGCTTGGAACCCACCAGCCTCTCTGTGGGAGAAAGATGTGACAGTCAGCTTCCGTAGAGATTTACAGCCTTGAAAACCCTATGGAGCAGTTCTACTCTGTCTTATAGGGTCTCTATGAGTTAGAATCAGCTTGACAGCAATGGATTTTTGTTTGTTTGTTTGTTTATGGAACCAACTGGCCAAGTCATTGAAGAATAGCTATCATCAGAAAGACATGGGGATCCTGGTTTAGAGACTCATTTAGGATCCCTCTACATGAAAAGGAGAGATAATTAACAGTTCGTTGTTCTGGTAAACAGGTGAACAGAAGAAATAAACCCTAGTTCCCTGTACTCTCCCCCGTCTTCTCTTCCTTTTCGAGCATCAGCCAGCTTGGATTGCTAGCTTCTCTCCTTGTGTTTACCACCAGTCAGCTTGCCATTTGCTCTTGTGCACAAAGGGCCCTGATGTCACAGGTGTCTCTAACAGTGTTTCATGTTTGTCCCCATGGAGGCTGGGCTCAGGCCCCACACTGGAGAGGAGCCTTGTTTCATAACTTCCCTAACTTCTCCTCCCAGGGCGAGAGGTGATGCGTTAGTATATGGGCATGTGCAAACGTTCCTGTCCCTTCTACATTTCAAGGTAAAATGGTCTCAGCATAATAGTCTATTAGAAATGACCCTGATGAGTCACGTCCCTCACTTTCAAGGCTGACGTCAGGGGAAAGAACGCCAACCCCTCCCACCTCCTTTGGAACCCTCAGCAGGGAAGGCACTGGGGAAGACAAGATGGATGGTGGGGCTGGCCCAGGGTGGCGCTCCCAAAGCTTTCCTTCCATACTGGCGAGGGGAGGTCTTCAGGGGGCGCAAGGCCAGCCACGGCCCCGCCCTCTCATCACCACCAGGCCTCCTGGGTCTTGCCTGCTGGTCTCGCTTCCCTCTCTCTTTACCCATCCCCTCTCCCCTCCCTCTCAGTGGTGCAGTCTGGGCCGCTTCTCTCTGCAGCTGCGTCCTGAGGCTGCAGTGAGGCCTCAGGAATGACAGGGTCTTATGAACAGACCCAAGTGACCTCTTTAGTCTCACAAATGACAGCCAAGCCACCTAGGCTGGCGATGGCATGATAAGGCTCCCCACAGCTTCATCTTCCCCTCCCCAACCCCAGGTCCCCATATGAAGACTGGACTCTCATAGCATTCCCCATTGCTTATTTTCAATCGGACTTCTAGGTAATAACTCTTTCCTGGTATTTCCTTTTGCACCACACACACAGAGAGAGAGAGAGAGAGAGAGAGACCCCAGTTAAATGCATGCAGAGTATGAAGTGATGCTTGATGCCTCTAAAAAATTAAATTGGAATGCAAGCCTAGATACCATTTTTCTATCTGACTTAATAAGCCTGTTTTTCTTTTAAAAAATTATTGGTTTGCACTATCGTGTCCAATAAGCACTGAGTAGGAGAACGAGTTTCTCATCATTTATATTTAAGTCACTCTCACATAAGCCTAAATGTAGAGAAGTTATAATCTTCTCTCTATCTACCTCCCCTGATATGTATCTTTGTGGACTAATGGCCTCCAAACACTTATTTTATTACACACATTTGTTATGTGACAAATCTTCCCAACACACCATTTTAAAGTTTATACATGAGGTGGCAAATGTCAGAAATAAATGAAAAAAATAAAATCCCAGGACCTGGCTTGGCTCTGATATTTACACTGAAAATGAAGTTTCCTAAGTGCAGTTTCTATATATGTATGTATGTATATACATCAATATATCTGCATGTATGTATATCTTCTTAGTTGCATATTGGCTTTAAAATATTTTCATTCAATACCCGCACATACGCTTCCCATTTATCATCTGCCTTATAATTTGGCCCGAAAAAGTACTCTCCTGAGTGGGTATGACCCATCTTTTATCGAATGCTGAAAGCACAAAGATTTGTTTTGCTTTTTCCTGTTTTTATATAACTTTTTTATATAACTTTTTTTCCTGTTTTTATATAACTGGTGAAATTTCTTCTGTTGTGTGTGTGTCTTCCAAATGCAAATATCTTTTTTATTATGAAAATGGCAAAAAAAAAAACAAACCCTGAAGCACCATGCCTTCCCCATAATTTCACCCCCCAGAGATAACCCCAGTGACCATGGGAGTAGGAAAGGAGAACCTTCCTAGTATATTCTCAGTTGTTCTTCAAGTTGTTCCCCTTCTTGGACAGAATGAGCAATTTCAGTTTCTCTGTGTGCTTTCAGGAGCCTTCAACCGAAGGAAAAGAAATTCCATCTATGTTACCGTGACTTTGCTTATTGTGTCCGTGTTAATTCTCACCGTGGGCCTTGCTGCAACCACTAGGACCCAGAATGTGACTGTCGGAGGTTATTACCCGGGAGTTATTGTAAGTATAGAAGGCATAGGTGGGTCTCACTAGTTTGCTGGCTATAGAGAGTCAGATTCCACTGTGATGGGTTGCAATTCTCTTTGAGTTTTTATTGTTTGCTCTGTTTTCCTTGACACCTCCCTATATTTACACAGAAAGACAATTGTGGGCCGTTAAGAAGAACCCTGAGCTGAGAATCTGAAGAATCTCAGCTCCGTACTAACTGGCAGTGCGGTCCTGGGCAAGTCATCTAACCCTTTTGGATGTCAGTTTCCTAGTCTAGGGGATGTTCCTAACTAGCAGTGTTTATCTTAGGCTAAGATCCTACCCTTTCTGGGCATCTGCTTTCCTATACATGATAGAAGTCACTTGATCCTACCTGACATCTGAGGACCCTTGCACCCTTGACACTGTGTGATCAGTAGTGATTGTGCACTCCTATCAGGAAAGACATGTGGACTATAGATTCCTAAAGTGTATGGATCTATAAATTATATACATGTTCATAAAAAGTATATAAGATGGAAGTTCATAATTAGATAAAAATTCAATAAACTTTTAATATCTTCACACTAACACTAAAATTTAAAAGAATAATATGTACTTTGTATTAAACTTGTCATTAAAGTTGGTGGCTATAAACTTTTATTTCAAAGAGCCACTAAATGTTTTTAATTTATTTGGCTGACTGCTTATCAGATATCATTAGCTCATCACTGGTGTCATTGTTTTTTTCATCTTGAGCTCACAGTCTGGCTAACAGAAGCTCACCCTGGGAGTGGTAGTGTCAACTCTTCCATTTTCCTGTTGCTCTCCTGTGCTCACCGTCATTAGGGGCATCTTCCATTCATGGTTGTTGTTATTGTTGTTATGTGCTGTCAGATCGACTCACAGCGACTCATAGCGACTCATAGAAACGACTTGGGTTTCTGAGGCAGTATCACTACAGAAGTAGATTGCCCAACCTTCCTTCCGAGGAGTGGCTGGTGGGTTTGAACCGCCAGCCGTCTGGTTAG